AGACAATACAAGTTGGTTTACTAACATGATTTATAGCTTTATGGTGGTAGCGGGGATGTGGGGATAGCTATAAAATGAAAGATACTTCATATATATATACTATTCTAGTAGCTACATGTCAAGTTTGGCGACTCTAGCCCTTATTGTTTACCAAAATTGCGCAAAAAACAGGATTTCGATATCGATTTTTATCGATTACTTGGAAACGGGGCAAGTTATCGAATATCGGAAACAAACTCGATCTGCGCGGGGACTAGGAGGACCTACAGCTAATTTCACTGACACGGCTAGATCGACTCGGCTATTGATGCTGATCAAGAATATATAAACTTTATGGGGCCGGAGATGCTTCCTTCTGCCTGTTACATACATTTGCAAAAATACATTATACCCCTTTTACCCATTTTCAATGGGTTCAGGGTATAAAAATACCTGTGAAAATAACTGACTGTTATTCGGCTTTTAGGCGCGCCGTTTTTTTTTAAAAGAATATATATTTTTTATATTTAATTGAAATATTATTATTATACTTATATAAAAATAAAAAAAGCATTTGTCTGATTTGCATAAAAGTTGTTTGATTCCCGTCCGATCAGTTTCAAAATCATTTTAAAAGCTTTTTGAAGCTTTTATAACTTACGTGCCACGGGCAAGGACGGATTATACCCGCTAGTATTTAATAAAAACTTAAATGACCTAAATGAAATATTTATATTTTATATTCTATTTTTTTTGTTTACTGTATGGACCTATTTTAGTTAAAATAAAAATAAAAACTAAGTCGTATTTCTGCAAGGGAAATTCATTGTCGGATTGTCGAAGAAATCTAAGAAAAGACTTAAAAATTGAAAATGTTCTATTTTTGCGACTTGCTACTTGTGCACACTCTTTCGAGGGAGGAATCGTGTGATATTATAAAAGGGTTTGGCCTGTTCATATGCAAAATTGCTCTTTTCCATGCTTGTTGTTGGTAAGGGTACCTGCACTAGCATGATAACTTTTTGGGCCGGCTAAGCACGAAAATGGATGGAACCCTTTATGCGTTTGTGTGCCTGTTGGTTGCCTGCCTGTTCGATGCAAAATTGACAAGATTTGAAGTTTTTGGGGTTTCTGAATTTCGAGCTCTGCACACACAGATAAATGTGTGCGAATGATTCGATCAAGGGTTTGTCGTTGAAACAGGTGTGCCGCACTTGTCGTTCGTTTGCACTTTGATATGGACATTCTGACCATTAACTACCTGTCATAAAACCCTTAAGCGCAAAATTTTTACAATGTCAAAAAATATATAAAAAGATCACCCTTACCAACAACAACCATGGAAAAGAGCAATTTTGCATATGAACAGACCAAACCCTTTTATAATATCACACGACTGCTCCTTCGAAAGATTGTGCGTGTGCACAGGTAGCAAGTCGCAACATTTGAAACTGTTCAATTTTTGGTCTTTTCTTAGAATTCTTCGACGACGATTTACCCTTGCAGAAATACGACTTAGTTATTTTTTTGATTTTAAGCAAAATAGGTGCCCCAGTAAACAAAAAAAAAATAGAATATAAAATATAAGTATTTCATTTAGATCATTCAAGTTTTTATTAAATATAAATAGATCAGATTCTTCTCATTATGCCTGACTGGACGAACAAATACATGATAGAGCATTTGAATGTGTGTGCCTTTTGCTACCACAGGCACAAAAGGCACACAATTGAAGAAAAAATCTCTGGCTCGCGAGATCGCATCCACACAACACAAATATACATATGTATGTTTGTTTGTAGATCTCAGGGTTTTTTGAGAAGCTATGCAGAGAGAAAGAGATGCACACAAGCGCGCAAAGCAATGAGTGAGAGCGAGGCAAACTCTGCACATGCATACACACATGTATTTGGGCTGTAAGGATTTAAAACTAACATACATACATATATTAAGAAATAGCATCAGCCGCAGCGACGTTGTGGGCTGAGCAAGATGCGGCTTCATACTGAGCGTTCGACTTTCGAGGCCGGCGTTCGGCTGCCACTCTCAGAAGTCTTACTCTTTCTGGGCACACTAAAATGTTCGCGGGCACCCTTGGGGCTCAATCGTTGCGATTTATCGTGATCCGATTATTCTGGTGTTTAACATATATATGCATTGTATAGTTAGTGATCTTACTCTTTTTTTGGACCAGTTGTCAGCGATTTTTGTGTGCCCACTCTGGTTGTCCTACATGTCCTATCTGCATGCTGTTTGGTTAGTGATTTAGACACAGGTTTTAAGAGTTAATAAGTCACCAAATAGGACTTCTGGTATATATATATGTATAGTTCATTTTTAGGATACTATCCATCAAAATCAATAAATAAATAAATTGGAACCACGCAAAAAATTTGAAGCAGCTGTCATTTTTGCAACGACACGAATAAGATCTACTCCAAAAATGTTTAGCATGATCGTTTATGAAAATGTTGGCAAACCAGGTGAAAAAGGTGTGGCGATTTATTTCAGTTTAAAGAGAAGAGAAGTCAATGATCGTTAGCAAGTGTTGTAAATTTTAAGAATTTTGGCCTGCGGAGACACTAAGTCGGCATAGGTTCTTGTATTGTTGCAAGCCGTAGTGGCTGGTCGGTTGACGGAAATATTAATAACTTACATTCATATAAACGTGATATTTGTTAATTTTACAAAGAGAATACAATTGCGATTGTATTCAGTTAATTTGAGAGCGAGTTTGCAGCCGACATAGTTAACTAACTTTTTTTTTAATATTTTAAATAATGCTAGTTATATCCCTTTACCTTTTGTATTGTAATGGTAGATAAAGGTTAAGGGTATCGCCTAGAAGGGCACTCCCGACTACATTATTCTTACTTGTTTTAGATGAAGAGTTGTGTGTTTTCGAATAAGCTGTCGTGTCTATTTATACCTTTACATAAACTGACTGCCTTTACTAACTCACTGATCGTTCATAATTCTCTCTATAATTGTAGATGCGATGCGGCAGCGCTTATTCTTCTGCCTGCACCGCAGTATTTGAAATTGAATGTTGAATAACTTCTGTTTTTTCACGATTTGTCTCAAAACAGATTTTTATCATATATTTTGGAAACTTGACGAGACATCAAAAAAAAAAATAAAATTGTTTCTCACTTTGCGTATGGTATAGAAGAATATACACATATTTCAAATTGTGAGTACCTATGTCTTGTAGTTTCTTAGATCGACGATTCAGATCACCTGATTAAAAATTTGTATACTTTATGGGGTTGGACATGCCTCCTTTTACATAAATTTACAACCATTGTACACTTTTTACCCATTTTCAATGGGTACACAAAATCCAATGTTTAAACAACCTAATAAATACAGACTTTATTTAAGAAACAACTGAAAATTATCCAAAATTGTTATTAGCTGTCATCTCCCGCCCTTGCTCGGACCAATTTTTTTGTTTAAAATGTTGGACATATATTTTACACTAATTTTTCGTCAGGATCTACCACACCCGTCACTACGAACAAGAATTCAATTTGTGCATTCAAATTCTCGTAAACTCATCACCAACGAAGAAAGCAAACACACCGAATCCCAATAAAACACCCTCCAAACCGGCCTACAATGTAGTTACAGTAATTAACATAAAATACCATATCATCGAAATTTTCGTCAAGAATACTTCACTACTTACCCGACTCCGAAATGGAAGTAATGCCAAGAAATCACAGTAATATACCAGCCAAACAAAATAAGATCGTAAACTAAGAAAACATGCTAGACATAAACCATATTATGTGATCATTATTACCCTAAACATACAATATATAAGACATCTACACATTTAAAAACTCCAAAGACTTTGCAAATATAGATATCCAGCTGATCCACCTAATACACATCGATGTGGAAGGGATCAATTTTGTATCCATATCTCACTATTTCCTAACCATAAAACCAAACCTAATGTAGATGCGTTCATACATACCTAGGGCTAAATGGACAGACATGTACCCCGTAAAGCCCTTCAAAGATACTCCATGTGCAGCATCCATTCGGTACCAATTAAATGACTCAAGAAATTATTACTTAAATCTGCACAAAAACCCCTTTTTACCCATTTTCAATGGGCTCGGGGTATAAAATTAAACTTTTTGGGTAAAGTCACTAAGCAATACTAAATGTTAAAAATTAAAACAAGAACAAGTTGTAGTTGTAAAAATAAATTGTAAGAAGTGTATTGCCTTTGCGAAATTGACGTCTCTTCACTATTCTTTTATACAGAAGAATATGGCGAGATCGCCTCAGCTCATTAACTAGTCCAACCGACCAATAATATACACTTTTATTTTACTTCTACTCAATTTGGTTCTGTTAAACGGTAATGCGCATATCCGGTTGCTAATTTTTCTGTTGAATTTTACCATGACCATACTGTATTCGGGGTTTAGCAAGCCATGTCCGTCCGAACGTAAGTATGAACACAAGCATCTCAGAAACTATAATATAATAATAAAATCGATAAGTTGCCAAGTTTCCAAGCAAACTATACAAATTTTGAAATGCTGCTTTTTGAGCAAATCTCTTAGGGCTTAAGAGCTGGAATCACCAAATTTTACATGTAGCTTCCTGAATACTATATATAAGTATATATATCAAGTATCTTTAATTTTATAGCTATAAGTGCCCCACTAGGAGATGCAGTGAGCCTAGAGCCGAGCTGCCACCACAAGTTTCCTTTAAGGCATCATAGCAAAGCAACACAGATCCACTTACGACGCAGCTAGCGCTCTAGCTGTGCTTCCTTTTCCCTTAGCCACATACAATGGGAAATACTTTCATTCGGTTTTTATTGTCCGATCAGAGTATATTTTAGCATCCTACGAAAACTTTAGTTCTAACTGTTACATATGTAACATTTATAAATTGATGGGATCGTTATTAACATTATTTTGGAATCAATATATCTTATAATATGTCTTATGAATCAAATATATAATGAATATTTATATATATTTATATATATATATAACAAATCCCATGCTAGTTATGTATATATATAGAAGCCAGGGCTATTTTAAATATAATTTTTATAGTTAATATTAGTTCTACTCTTATATATTAAATATACTAATAAACAAATATTTATACCATGTTGCAAGCTTTAACTGTTTCATTAAAAATAGTAGCAAGCACTATATTTTTTAAATTATTTTATATGTAATAAAGCTCTTTGTGGCAGTGCAAAGCCGCTCCCGACGCATAAATAGCCAATTGGGGATTACAATTTTTCTCCACTGAGATTCACTATGTTATAATAATTGTGGTCGGGGAAACGTTCCAGTTCAATGTAATCCATTTCAGTGTGAAGTAATTTATCAAGCATCTTTATTATTTCAGCAAATGTTGGTCTCTCATTTACATCTTGCGACCAGCAGTAGTACATAATATTATAGAGCTCTCTTCGACAATGCTCTGGTTTTTCCAGACGATAGCCGTCCCTAACCTGCAAATAAGGAAAATTAAATATACATAGATTTAGCCACTTAAAAAGAAGTGAAGAGAAGAACATTTTTTACCTTGCGCATAACATCGGCAGCGGATATCCCTGGATAAGGCGTTGAGCCTAATGTCACAATTTCCCACATTAGTATGCCAAAACTCCAGATATCCGATTTAATCGAAAATATGTTATCATAAAGTGATTCTATAGCCATCCATCTAAAGGAATACAATGTATGTTTGTCTTACATTCGTTATCAATTTTAACGTATTGGTATAAGGAATTTGTATGAGATAAAAAAAATTAGCATGCGTTGTGCATGTTCAAGGTGCGAGATCATCAGTAATTTCCCTGCTAAATCCGGCTCTAAGACTGAGAAACCGAAAATAAACAAATTCAAATATAGCAAAATGAGATGCACAAAATACATCATTTAATTTTGTTGAATTATTTTCTGTTGGATCTATAAGAATTTTCCGTAGAGGGTTAGCTACGTTCGCACACCGCAATAACCTAACTTGACATAATGTCTAAGTATCTAACGCAATACATTCTTTACTATTATTTGCCTTGCATTTGGCAGCATTATTAAACGCCAGGTAATCGAATTTTGAACATAATAGATACATATGGAACTCCATTCTGATATTTCGGCAAAGGACGAAATTTATCTAAACAAATATTTATGTATACAACTTAGCTAGGGTATAGTTGTATATTAGATCTTTTTTAAAATTTCTTTGGGAATATTTACCTGATTGGCAATTTTCCTTCGCTCTTTCGTTCATATATTTTCGATGTAATAATATCTCTTGCAAATCCAAAGTCAGCCACTTTGCACGTGTGATCATCCGTTATTAAAATATTACGAGCAGCAAGGTCACGGTGGATTATCTGGAATAAACAGCAGCTTTTATTTATTATGATAATAAAAATGATGTAAAATTATCGAGCAATATCAAAAGAAGTGAAATAGAATATACCTCGATAAAAATCAGGAGTGCTCGACTAGGAGATACCCTAAAACCAGCGCCGAGTTACCGTTAAAACCGTTCTAATTTCCTATTATAAATATATATATATTTCGTTCGATTGTGTTATTATACGCATACTCGAACGCCGCTTTTATCGATATTACAAAATATGGCAAGTTAATGATGATTTTAAACTATAGCGTTCTATAGGCGGACGTACATATTTCTTCACCCAGCCACATGTTAATGAGCCTTCTCCCTGTTACATACATTTGCACAAATACATTATACCTTTTTTTTTCCATTTTTAATGGGTTCAGGCTATAATGGCTATAATGTATAATGGTCCCTTTTTGATAAGATGATGCATATATGTGAGTAGAAATCATATATTCAAAGCTCTCGTCCCAATCGAGTATCTGCTTCCAGACCTGCTACAAGAGAATCTTATCATTTGCTATTACCGACCCTATAAGTCAAAGTAGGCTTTACAAACAGGCTATAGTCGATATCTCATAGATGGTTGACATATTGCCGATATAGCCAATTTAAAAATATTTAATGGCGTTTTGTATACCCTTAACTCATGGAAAATGTATATTAGTTTTGTGCAAAGGTATGTACCAGGCAGAAAGAGGCATCTCCGACCGTGTGTGTCGTAGAATAATCATCTATATAAAATAGTAATTTACATGTACATATATGATACCTATATTTTATAGGACTCCATTTTAATAAGATTTCGGTCTTATATTAAGAACATAGTAAAGCTTGTATGCGCTTAGTTTAATGGAGATAACCAAAACAAGAGGCTCTAGTTGTGAGCTCCCGACTTATGGATAACCTGAACCCTCTTCTACCAATACCAAATACAGCTCGCGCTACGAGCTCGTTTGCTTTAGTATTAAATTAAAAAACAAGTAAGAGGTTCTAGTCGGGAGCTCCCGACTAGGGGATACCCTGAACCCTCTTCTTTCAACACCAATGCAGATCGCGCTAGTAGTAGTAGTAAAGTAGTAGTAGTAATAAAGAAAAATGAAACTTATCGAATATCGGAAACAGCTAAAAGCTTTCAGTCTCTGGCTCTTATAGGTTCTGATATCCTTGCGTTCATACATATGGACGGACGGACAAACGGACAGACGGACATGGCTAGATCGACTTGGCTATTCATGCTGATCAAGAATATATATACTTTATGGGGTGGGAGATGCTTCCTTCTGCCTGTTACATACATTTGCACAAATACAATATACCCTGCTTAGCCATTTTTAATGGGTTCAGGGTATAAAAAACGATAAGGAGGGGCCGCTTCGGAACGCCGTTCTCATAATGCTTTGGGCGTATCTAAGAAGCATAGGGAAAATAGTTAATGCCGAGAATGGTTAAGATATCTTGAAAAACAAAAAGTTTTTCATACAAGAACCTCATTTTTGACCGATCGTTGTTATGGCAGCTATATGATATAAAGATCCGATGTTAACAATATTTTGGATAAATGTAGGGAGCATAGCGAAACTTATAAATACCAAGTTTGGTCAAAACATCAAAAAAAACCAAGCAGTATTCCATACTACAACTTAATTTTAGACCGATCGTTCCTATGGCAGATATATAATATAGTGGTCCGATGTAAATAAGATTTATCATAAATGTAGGGCACATACTAAAACTTATAAATTCTGAGTTTGGTCAAGATATCTAGAATAACAAAAAAGTTTTCCATACTACAACTTAATTTTAGACCGATCTTTCCTATGGCAGCTATATGATATAGTGTTCCGATCCAGCCGGTACCGACATATGTACTGTGTGCAACAGAAAAATGGATAGCTTTAAAACGGAGAGACTAGTTCGCGTAGAAACCGATAGACGGACAGACGCACATGGCTATATCGACTCGGCTGTATACTGATCAAGAATATATATACTTTATAGGGTCGGAGATGTCTCCTTCTATGCGTTAGACATTTCGAGACAAAATTATAATACCCCCTGTAACGCTATAAAAAAGAAAATAAGTCCTCCCGCAAAAGACCGCTAACGACAGCCATACCAACATTTCATTTTAAACGTAAAAAAAAGAATTACAATAGCAGAACATACACACAGCACATAAAACAATATAATCGCAGTTTCAATGCTGTTTGTAGAATTCAATAAAGACGCGCATGAATCTGTGTGTGTACAGAAATGTATGTAACATTCGCTAGATGTCGCACACACGTGCTAATATTTAATTATTAAACATATAAGGCTTAGTTTTCTTAAATTAGTTGTAGTCTAAATCGATGCAGTTCTATAACTCGTCGATGATTGCGATTCACTTACGATACCATTCGTTATCGGTATCGATAGCTCTTAGCTCAACTCAGTGTTGCCAAAAGTATAAGTATACATTTTATTTAATAGCTTCTGTGTTTCTTAACAGAATTTAATGCAATTTTTTCCAGTAGATCTTATTGCTCTATAGAATATTCGTACATTCTCAAGAAGACAATTGCAGAAAAATTGTGGCTTAAATTGGTGGGTAGTTCCAATTGGAATATTTAGTAGATTTAAAGTTATGGGATGGTGGCCGGGGGATGTCGATAGCTATAAAATGAAAGATACTTGATATACATATAGTATTCTAGAAGCTACATGTCAAATTTGGTAACTCTAGCTTTTAAAACTTAAGAACTTTAAGAACTTAAGAACTTTCGATTTTCGGAAACAAACTCGTACTGCGCAGGCACCAGGACGACCTTTGTTACTTTTTCGAAGTCTCTAGCTCTTACAGGTTCTGATATTCTTGCGTTCATACATACGGACGACGGACAGACAGACGGACACGCTTGATCGACTCGACTATTGATACTGAGAATATATACTCAATGGGGTCGGTTATTTACAAAAACATTATACCCTTTTTACCCTCATTTATTGGGTCCATGGTATAATTATAAAAACTGTCATATTATGCAACGTAGTACTTACTCCGCGTGACGTTAGGTAATCCATTCCTTTAGCAACTTGATACATAAATGATGTCAAGTCACCCGAAGTCAAAACATTTGATTTTCCGTGTGTATTTCCATAATGTCTGCAATAAGACATGTAATATAAACTTAAAAGCTTGGCATATGTCTTTATATAAAATTGTTTGTCCTGACTGACTGATCGGTGATAAACGGGCAGCCCAGTCAAAGATTTTGTGGGTGAAGTAACGGGTTCGATTTAATTTCCAAGGATCCTAATGAAAATTCATTTGAGAATCCAACCGAAATTTCGGGAGAAGTTTGTTGTCTGATCTGGCTTGAAACTTTTTTCACAGCTCTTCATAAAAAGTAAATGGATACGATGGGATTTTCGCACGCAACTGTGAAAATTTGGTAGGCTTAATGCCATTTTCAAAGGTCTTTGTGGAGATTTATTTCCCTTCATTGGAAAATGCGTCAAGGATGTTTGACAATAAGTTTGAAAGAACCAAAAATTTAAATCAACGGTATCCGGCCATTTTAGTCTTGTGGTGAGAATCATGAAGCACAATGGATTGGATTTTGTACAAAGTATGAAATAATAAAATTTTTTGAATTAATTTTCACCCGATTGAGTGGTAAACTAAATCTTTTCTAAAAACTTGCCGCACATTGTCCACAGTTGCGAGATAAATTATTAAAAATGCAGTAGAAAGTATATATTTAGTTGTTAAATACACATTGTTATCCAGGAGGGAATGAATTTTAATAATATACAAATAATTTACTCGCATTATCCATTAAAATAAGTATATTTTGTACTTTAAAACACGTTTAAATTTTAAATTTTTCCAATGATTTTTGAAAGTAAGTTTGAAGTCGAAACTTTGCTCATACAATCTATTTTCAAAAGGGATCGGGAAATGCTTGTGTATTTATATATTCAACTGGTATATTTCCGTGCTTACAGTAACAGATACTTGTAGTCTTTGGAGCTCTAAAAATCCATTGAAGGCTTATTGCAAATTATTTGTGCATTTGTATATATGTATAAAAATACGCAAGTACGCACGACGCACACACACTATGACAAATAAATGTTCGATATCCCCACATCGTTATCTATCTATTATTAGATAATAAATATTCTTGATTTGGGTGAACTATAACATATAGCCTACATGCCAAATTGAGTTTTAATGGTAGTTGATATTGATTGTGGGGTAACAGAGCAAATTATCGATGACTCAAAATATTTTGTTGTGGGCCTGACATACGAGATCGACTTTGAGATCGACTGCTTCATACATACGGACACACAAACATGACTAGATCGAATCAGCTCGCCATTCCGATCATGAATTCTTCTGCCTGCTAAATAAACTCTCACTAAACTATTATACTCTTTTAAATAAATTTTCAACAGGGAATACGTACATATTATGTACTTTCGCACGATTTCTCTATTACAAATAAATTTTATGCAGTTTTGTGAAATTTACCTATTTACTTACCTTTCTGCCCTGGAGTTTCTTAAATATGTTTGCAACTTCCCACGACTTACATACTCAAGTATAACGAAAGTTGGATCCTTTTCTGAGCAGCAACCCAATAGACGAACAACATTTACATGTGGGTCCAGAGTCTTCATCACCTGTAATAGCAATAGCAGTATCCAAGTATAATTTTAAATTTAAAAAAAAAAAGCAAACACAAATTATACATATACATATACATATACATATACATATACATATACATATACATATACATATACATATACATATACATATACATATGCATATACATATACACATACATATACATATACATATACATATACATATACATATACATATACATATACATATACATATACATATACATATACATATACATATACATATACATATACATATGCATATACATATACACATACATATACATATACATATACATATACATATACATATACATATACATATACATATACATATACATATACATATACATATACATATACATATACATATACATATACATATACATATACATATACATATACATATACATATACATATACATATACATATACATATACATATACATATACATATACATATACATATACATATACATATACATATACATATACATATACATATACATATACATATACATATACATATACATATACATATACATATACATATACATATACATATACATATACATATACATATACATATACATATACATATACATATACATATACATATACATATACATATACATATACATATACATATACATATACATATACATATACATATACATATACATATACATATACATATACATATGCATATACATATACATATACATATAGATATACATATAGATATACATATAGATATACATATACATATACATATTCATATACATATACATATACATATACATATTCATATACATATACATATACATATACATATACATATACATATACATATACATATACATATACATATACATATACATATACATATACATATACATATACATATACATATACATATACATATACATATACATATACATATACATATACATATACATATACATATACATATACATATACATATACATATACATATACATATACATATACATATACATATACATATACATATACATATACATATACATATACATATACATATACATATACATATACATAT